TGCAAGAATTCAAACGGAGTTCAGTGCCAGCCGTCGGCCGTACAGGCGCTGTGTTTTGGCGTCATATCGCGTTCATTCTCGGGCTTTATTCTCATTCCCGTTACAGTCATTAAGACTCGCTATGAGAGCGGAATCTTTTCCTACAAGACTCTGAGACAAGCCCTGAGACACACGTATGTGAGCGAAGGTCCGCGCGGTCTCATCGCCGGACTAATGCCAACACTTATGAGAGACGCGCCCTTTTCGGGCCTCTATTACATGTTTTACTCGCAATTGAGACAAATGGCTCTCCGGTCGTCGTCTACTTCGCCCAGCAATCAGTCTATTTCGCCGATTCTCACGTTTACAATCGGCTTAAATGCCGGACTCTTAGCGTCAATTGTCACCCAACCTATGGATGTGGTCAGTATTGATATGAAATTATTTATTTGCAATATATTTGTGTCATTTATCTTCTATTCATTTTGTGCTATATATTGAAGTCGGTTGAAGTGAATTGCGATATAATACAAGTGCTTTTCATTTCATTAGTATTAAATTTAGTGCATTTAATATAAGAAAACTTGAAATACTTGACTGTGTATAGGAAAGGGAGAGAGCCTACAGGTGCCTAACTTTGACTTAAACTGTACGATAGTTTCTTCTACTTGAATGAAAGAGTGCTTTGAGTGCTGAACCAAATGTTCCCATTTATCGTAATTCAAGCATTGATTTTATATAAAACATATTATTTTTTAGTGCATTTGAGTTTAGGTTTATAGTATTTTATTGAATAGAGTGATCAATTTGTTTAAATATATTTTTAATTATAAATATTAATTTTTAAAAAATGTTATGAATATAAATATGAAGAATATTCTTACGACACATTCACGCTTCTGTCATAAGACAGATATAAGTTATATCAGTATATAATATAAGATTTCAAGTATTGTTAGAATCATATGAATTGATAAATTGCTTGAGATTAGCTATTAAAAGCATTGATTTATCTAAATTTAAACCCAATTATAGTATATTATTAGTATTATAGTATAAAACAGACATGAATCTTAAAATATATACACAAATATAACACTTATAAGTTATAACTAAATTAAATAATGAAAACTAAATATTTATTTAATTTATCACATGATTAGGTGAAGACACGAATGCAATTATATCCGAAACAGTTCTCATCGCTGGCCATAACGTTAGCGATCATAATGAAGGAGAAGGGACTGAAGGGCTATTTTAGCGGACTATTGCCGCGTATGATTCGGCGGACATTAGTGGCCTCCATGTCGTGGACAGTATACGAATTGTTGCGGTCAAAGGCATAGATAACCGCAAGCAATCATTCATCACTTTAGGACATCTAATTAATTATATTTATTCATACAAATCGCCAAACTATTGCAATTAACTTCCACATGCAATGGCTTTAATGTTGACATTTTATATCATATAAAACTTGTTAATTAGACTATAAATCCATTATTAGTCCATTTGTTTGTTATTTATGAGATTATTAATTAAATTTGCCACAAATGTATTGATATTAAAATACTTTAAAGTTTTTATAGTTGTTTTTCAAATTAAATACTAAACATATTGTTAAATGCATTTTCAATCAATCATTTTGTTAATTGTTATGATATGAGAGAAAATATTCAAATTTGTATAAGACTTATGATGTATGGAAACAAACAAAATGTGATAAAAACAGATACTGTTATTAAATAAACGAATTTTAATGATTTGATTATTAATTTAAATCCAATTTTATTATAAAAAAAGATTACGAAAACAAAGAGACAAAATAAACTAAACCACAAATCAGTCAATCAATCAATTAATTCTCGGTCTCCTCTTCTTCGTCATCGTCGTCGGTGTCCTCGTCGTCGTCCGTCTCGAAGGTCTGGTCGGGAATGTCGTACAGAAGAAGCGTCGCCTTATTGGGGTCCTTAAGGATCAGATACTTTCCCTCTTTTAGTTTCATACAGACATCGATTATACACCTCAAGACACCCCAAGCGTTGTCCATATTCAAGTTGGTCTGATCGGCAAACTCTTTGGGCTTAAACTGTTGCGTCCCTAATATGGCGTGTTTTGACGAATCCCGGAAATGCACGCGCGATACGTATCTGAAGATAATTCACAATTGATCCGCAATTAGATTTATGGTCACAATTGGATACACAAATATATATATATAAACTAATGTTTTGCGTACCCGAACTTGATCTGATCGGAACCGGCCAACAGTGCCTGTACTGTCCATTTGGCGAGTTTGCACGAGTTATTCTTGAGCTCATTGGCCAGAACAGCTCCGCGTTGGATATCCAACTTTTGTCGCCAATCAATTCCCGCCGATATCTGTAGACAATAACAACAACAGTTAACACATCATAAATGCAAACAATTATCAATCATTGTCTTTACTCTGGGATCCCATTCGTTGAGTGCCTTAATGTTGACGAACTGATGCTCGCCGTTGGGGCCCAACATGACTGAGTCGTGTTCGCAACGGACGACCAGCTCTACGCCATCGCCTAAATCCCATTTGCGATACCGATAGGCGACGGACGCCACCTCTCCCTCTTCGTCCTCCTGAACGAACGGATTCTTGTTCTCAAACTTATACTTCTCGTCGTTGGTCTTCAGCACCTGTTGCGAGAAGTTGTGGTTAATGAAAGTGGCCTCCAGTGCCAGATTGCGGGGCCAATTGATATTATTGGTGCCGTCCTCTTGAGAGAAGGGCGGTTCCGAAGCCGTTTCGTTCACATTCAACAAATCAAACTCCGATTCGTCGCGTTTGTCGAAAAACAACTTATTGCCCACTTTTTGGACCACAAGATCCCACGATATGACCGAACGGGTGGCGCACATGAGGGCCGCGCAGATGGCATCCGTGGCGAACACATTGCCCTCCGTTTTGGACAACTGGCGAATAATCGGGTCGTCAGTTGTGGTCACTTTATGAAAGATACGATTCACGCGAGTCAAGCGTTTCTCATTCTTCGTGGTCACCCGATCGTAGGTCTTGTCGTAGTACTCGAGCGCACCGCACGTGTAGACGTCTTTGCCGTCGGGAACCGCTGGCAGCGAGAGTTTGCTGAGTCGCGGAAAGTCCATCTCTTCGATTATCTTCCACGTGGGCCTCACGTCGACCGACGCGTCCCTCTTCTTCTGGTTTTGTTGATTCTTTTGGTCGTATTTCTGGCGCGGATTCTTGTTCTGCCACTTCCCGCCGCGCATCGTCGCCCCGCCTCTGTCTCTGCCCCGCACTCCGCGCGACAGCACATGCATGTCCGCCCGCTGATGGCCGCCCGGACCACCTCTGCCGCCACGACCTCTCATATTACGCTATGAGTGACGATAATAGTGAAGGGAATGGGAAGTGAGTGTTGCGGTCAAAGACATTGATGTAGTAGTAGTGATGGCATACCTGACCGATGCGAAGGCGTCCCCTTTGCATCTTATTAATCACACGAGTCGTGTCCACCAATTGATACGACGACTCGTCGTCCTCTTGATTGTACGAATACTGACCGCCGCCTCCGAACTGAGACTGATATTTGTCTGTTAAAAAACGGGTTACAAACAGATCATTAGATTAACCAATGAATGCACACAATAAACATCTCCCTCTCGAGACCACTACTACTCACTGGCCAGTCGTTTGTCGGCATATGTCTGTCCCGTCCAGTCGGCCACCTATTGGGTGATAATGTAATCATTAATAAAAGAGTGGACAACGAGTGGTGGGCGCCGACGGCATATGTCGACCCCTGCGATGACATACTTTGCCGATGCGGTCACTCTTGGAGAAGGGCTGATACGGCATGTCTTTGAACTGTTCCGGCACTGTATTAGGTCCCCAACCTATTCCCAAACAGATCTCCAGAGACGGGAACATCGATTCCGCGCCCAAAGAGTTTCAGGTCCGGGGCTTAGACTCCGAGAGTGACCCTAACGGACGACTTCTGGGCAATTATGTGTACGAAGACAACGGCTCTCCGATGCAGTACTTCGATGTCGAAGACCCGAATCCGCCGCCCATAGAGTTTATAGAGGTAGTGATACTATCAAATCACGGCCACAACGAATACACGTGTCTCTACCGCTTCCGAGTGCACGGAAAACGAGTTAACATTTGAATTGTTAAACAATTGCCACCAAATTGTCTCATCCGATCCAATCCCAAGAGATCTCCAATACTTCTCTCCTATGCTTTTATTTATTCATTATTTTAAGACATTTTTATGTGTATATAATGGACGGCCTTTTCTAAACTCATTATAACTGCCATAAAGTTTATCGCAATTTTAAAATATTATTTTAATTCACATTTTAATTATCAAATTTGAGAGATATTTTCAAAACACATTATTTAAATGCCATTTATTTTACGTACAAAATAGACGTGAAATTATAATTAATTTTTCATAAATAAAAAGCAATTTTTAATTAAATTTTAATCGCTTTTATCACAATATTTTTGTTGTAATTAATATTCACTATAATTTATCAAAACTTTATAAGAGAATAGATATCAATATTGAATCAGAAGTTCAATTGTTTGATGATCTGTTTGGTGTGATCGGGACTCTTGACAGCGTAGCCGATGGTTCGCGGGTCGGTATAGATCTCGTAGTCGTTGCCGCCGGGAGTGGTCTTATCGCCGAAGAAGTAGATCTTTTCGAAGTCTTTCTCCACAAAACGGAGACAATAGGTTTTGTCCCAACCCTTCGGGAAACAGTCGAACGATATCTGACCGCCGATGGCGTAACTCAAACCCAATTCTTGGCCGAACTCTTTGTGCAACGCGTCCACAAACTGTTTGCGTACGTTATGGACGGCGTCGTAAGCGGCAAAGTCTTCGCGCTCGCGTTGGGAACAGCTTCGGCCCACCGGACAGATGTTGATGAGACCGTTGCGGAACTCAACAAAATTGCCGCGTTTTACGGGCAGTTCCAGTTCAGACATATACCTCAGACAGAAGTTGATAAACTTCTGGAGCTTCTGTTCGCCCATAAAGCCCAGTATGGACTCCGTGGCCAACATCGAGCCCTTCTTGTAGGCCACGAGACCGTTCTCCGCGAACACGTAGTCGTATGAGTGGACGACATCGTAACACATCTGCGCCTTATTCTCGCCGCTGCCGCCCATCTGTTCGGCGATTTTGGCCAAATCGGAACCGCCGACCAAACCGACGGTCACTCTCTCCTTAAGCTCTTTGAGAAACGCGTCCATCTCTGCGTTGATGGGCAGTCGTGAGGCCGTGAGAGTGCCGTCCACGTCGAACAGCACCAGTGTTTTGGACCGATCCGGAGGCGACTCGTAGGCCGTGTCCGCACCCGAAGAGGACACAGACATGTCCGTCAACTTTGTGATCAATTTCTTCAACGACTGAATGATGCAATCGTTTGACGCGATTGGCGTATATCGAGAGGACACGTGCGCTCACGTCTTCACCCGTCAATCAATTGGTCAATGGCTCGGAAGAGTGTGTGGAAGCGCTGGTGATGTGTCTCACCATCCGATTGTCTACTGAAATGAAAACCAAATGATCAGGTGATGAAACTTATGGTCAATTGAATCGATGCTGACGTTTAACATAGAGAGAGATAGAGAGGCGTCTCGTAATGTGTGCTCACAAACAGAGGCAGCGATTGATTTGGTTTTGAAAATATAACTGTAAATATGTTTTTGCATTCAATTTGTCGTCGATTTGTGCAAAACGTGTGTATTTTGCGCAACAAATGCAGCGAAACGTCAAATCATGTGATGATTGCCAACAAATTCAGTAAATTAACGCTAAAATCAATTCAATTTTCAATCATTGAAAAAACTTATTTTCATTTGTTTTGTCACTTTTGGCACGTTTTTTATGAACAATACGTTAGGCTTTTACACGTCAATCACTGGTTTAGTAATTATATGCTGTTATATGTGATGGGGGGAGGGGTTCGACCATATGGTTGGGTAATACAGGTTTATATGCCGTAAAACCCCTTATATTTTATCCAAAGTGAGCGCTTATAATGGGTTTAATTTTTAACGATTTATTGTAATTAATGAATACATTATTTGTGACCAAATGTAAAGTATATTGAAACTCATAAATAACATAACTCTAATCCACAGTTGGATGCATTCGGTCCGTAGACTTAACACGAGGGGGCAAATAGGGGGCATAAATACAGCGATCAAATGTCATGAAAGCGGTGTAACAGAGTTTGCGAACAGTTTTTGGTGTAAAACGTGTTCAAAAGAGTGGACACAAGAGTTGTTGTCAAACAATTGGTCACTGATTTCGGTGTGAATTACTACCCGAAGACTATAATCATGTCGTTTTCAGCCGCTGTCCACCGGTTTATAGCGCCTGAGATCCAGGAGAACCCGAATGGTTGGGGACCTAATACAGTGCCGGAACAGTTCAAAGACATGCCGTATCAGCCCTTCTCCAAGAGTGACCGCATCGGCAAAGTATGTCATCGCAGGGGTCGACACATGCCGTCGGCGCCCACCACTCTGAGTGGTGGGCGCCGACGGCATATGTCGACCCCTGCGATGACATACTTTGCCGATGCGGTCACTCTTGGAGAAGGGCTGATACGGCATGTCTTTGAACTGTTCCGGCACTGTATTAGGTCCCCAACCGTTGGGGTTCTCCTGGATCTCAGGCGCTATAAACCGGTGGACAGCGGCTGAAAACGACATGATTATAGTCTTCGGGTATTAATTCACACCGAAATCAGTGACCAATTGTTTGACAACAACTCTTGTGTCCACTCTTTTGAACACGTTTTACACCAAAAACTGTTCGCAAACTCTGTTACACCGCTTTCATGACATTTATCGCTGTATTTTTGCCCCCTATTTGCCCCCTCGTGTAAAGTCTACGAACCGAATGCATACAACTGTGGGTTAGAGTTATGTTATTTATGAGTTTTATTATACTTTAGATTTTGTCACAAATAATGTATAAATTAATTAAAATAAATCGTTAAAAATTAAACCCATTATAAGCGCTCACTTTTGATCAAATATAAGGGGTTTTATGGTATATAAACCTGTATTATAATACCAAACCATATGGTCAAACCCCTCCCCCCATACAATATAACAGCATATAATTACTAAACCAGTGATTGACGTGTAAAAGCCTAACGTATTGTTCATAAAAAACGTGCCAAAAGTGACAAAACAAATGAAAATAAGTTTTTGAATGATTGAAAACTGAATTGATTTTAGCGTTAAATAAGTACTGAATTTATTGGCAATCGTCGCGTGAGTTGACGTTTGGCTGCATTTGTGCACAAAATACACACATTTTGCACAAAATTGACGACAAATTGAATGTAAAAACATATTTACAGTTATATTTGCAAAACCAAATCAATCGCTGCCTCTGTTTGTGAGCACACATTACGAGACGCCTCTCTCTATGTTAAACGTCAGCATCGATTCAATTGACCATAAGTTTCATCATCTGATCATTTGGTTTTCATTTCAGTAGACAATCGGATGGTGAGACACATCGCCAGCGCTTCCACACACTCTTCCGAGCCATTGACCAATTGATTGACGGGTGAAGACGTGAGCGCACGTGTCCTTTCGATATACGCCAATCGCGTCAAACGATTGCATCATTCAGTCGTTAAAGAAATTGATCGATAAGTTGAAAGACATGTCTGTGTCCTCTTCGGGTGCGGACACGACCTACGAGTCGCCTCCGGATCGGTCCAAAACACTGGTGCTGTTCGACGTGGACGGCACTCTCACGGCCTCACGACTGCCCATCAACGCAGAGATGGACGCGTTTCTCAAAGAGCTTAAGGAGAGAGT